ATGCTGGGTGGTGCGTTTTCGCACCTCCAGAGCCACTCATACCAGATTGATCAATGGTTAGAGACCAAACAGCCCCTTGGTCCTACAGGTTGGGGGTTGGAATGAGGTCAGCCCCTTATAGTTTAAAACGGACTAGTAGTAGTAGTAATCACAGCAGTCTAGCAACTAGAAATAAAGCCGACAGAAAACCATGGAGATCAGCGGATAAGGGACAGTCAACGCGTCATAATCATCGTGACATGGTAGTTGAAGGTGAGAAACACACTTCAGCTAATATGCCGCGAGAAGAAAGGAAGCTTTCGACAAAAAGTAGAAAACATGTTGTTTGTTTTTCACACGCCGATTTTTCTCTTTTTGTCATTTTCAATGTTAATCAATACAATACTGTACACAATTCTTCCACTGATTGCGGTTGCGGGCAATGTCTTCAAGCGTGCTGATCCATTGGCACTCCTTATCTTTGGGTCCCCATCCTGGAAGACGTACGGATCCAACAGCGGCTAGACACGATGTCAGTAATTTCATGTGCTGCCGCCAAGTGGAAGGCTGACCACCACGCGGTCGCTTCCAGCCAGGTCCACGACGAGCGAATAGAGCGCGACGCGGTAGACGCTCAGGTGCCATCCGTAGGACGTGACCGAGACATCTTAACTGGCGCAGCAAAACCAGCTTGTTGAAGGGAATACTTGCATTCCCCAAGATACGACGTCGAACGTCATTACTATTAACTCGATGTTGCCACCAAACACGAGCAATCCTCCTTAAGCAACCACTATCTAAAGCAGAAATAAGACGCATCTCTTCCACGCGAATCGGCCAGGACTCGCACCCAAACAACAAATACTGAGCGAACTGAAGCGCTGTGAATGCGGCTCTTTAGTGAAAATGAGACGTCACGACGACGCCACAAGTGCCTCAGGTTGACAAATGCTGCTCGAGCTTTAGCGATACGAAGCGAAACTTCTTTGTTGATAGTACCGTCAACAGAAACACAGTTCCCGAGGTAGACGAAACTATCTACCTGTTCAAGTTGTGCACCTTCGAGAGTGAGCACGGGAGTAAGTGAAAACCAATCCTTGAGCAGTACTTTGCACTTCGATGGGGCGAAACCCATGCCATACTTAGTTGCTTCAACCGCCAAACAATCCAGAATGAGTTGCATACTCTGAGGATCATCACCAAGTATAGCGATATCATCAGCATAATCTAAGTCGGTCGCGCGCTCACTCGGTGGAAGCTCTAGGCCAAGATGTTGGAAAGCTTCTAAAACATTCGACAGAACGTCTTCGATTGCGAAGTTGACGAGGAATATGGACAGAGCAGCCCTGTCGCACACCGCTATTAACAGCGAATTGCGAGGAAAGCTTACCATAGACCCTCACTCTGCCGGATGTATGAAAAGAAACTGCTCGTAAGATGGCGGTATATTTCTCTGGCACCCCGTTCTTTAGCAAACAACGCCATAAAGCAGGTTGATCAACGGAGTGAAAAGCGACATGTATGTGTAGGAATGCAACGATAGTGGGTCTGTGATAAATGTGGCGATGTTCGAGGAGCTGGCGGAGCGTGAATATTTGATCCACGCATCCGCAGCTGGGACGAAAACCAGCATATTCTTCACGGTAGTATGATCCACGTACTGGGGATAGTCTGTAAAGCAGAATGGATGCCAATAGCTTAGAGGCAACCGAAATAAGGTTGATCTCGCGATGATTTACGCATGAAGTGCGTGCGCCTTTCTAGAAATTTGGGACAAGAGAAAGGCACTTTCTCTTCATGACAAATTTTTGCGAACAGCACGGTCAGCTGGTTAATGACCGCGACACCGCCGTACTTGAATAGCTCCGGAAGAAGTCCGTCTAAGCCGGCAGCCTTGAAGCGCTTCAAGCGTCGAATCTCGAGGCAGACTTCAGCTTCGCTGGGTGGATTCAGTTGGACGAGCCAGGGTGGACAACACTCGGCCCAGTGGTCCATAGGTCTCTGTTGGTTTGTGATCGGAGACTCATCCACCTCGCAAATGACCTCACTGACACCAGGCTTCCTGAGGACAATAGACCGAATAAGTTGGAAAAGCCTGCGAGCGTTGCCAGAGAAGGAAGCGGTCCCCATCGTTAAACCGCGCTCAGACCACCATGTGTCGCGATCCTTGCGTAGGCTTTGCTTGAGCATTTGGTTGGCAGAACGGCATCGCTCGTTGCAATCTGATTCCGCGGGGATATCTTTGCGGCGTTCGAACAGCTCCAGAGAACGAGCAGAGATCCAAGCCTTTATGGGGCGTCGAGTTAGGAAGCAACTGAACTGTCCGGAAATGGTCATCGCTTTCCGTGTACAAGTCCAGTGTTGTTCAACTTCTTGCGGTGGATTGCAACTGAGTGCATATGCCAGTGAAGACTGATAGCTCTCCAGGACAGAGGAATCACTTAATTTGTTTACATCAATCTTGCGGTGCTTCGTGTTTCGGGATCCTCCAAAACACATACAGATTTTCGTGCAGACCAGTGCATGATCTGAGTCAACGATGGTGGATCAAAGGGACCTGCAGTCCAGTACGCTGCCGCGCCATCTGAAGCTAATTGCAATGTGATCAATTTGAGACCACAGTTGTGTTGGCGAAAGGGGGCGCCACGTTTTGAAACGCTTCTTCGTAAGCCTGAAGTTAGTGTTCGAGAGAAACAGATGGTTGTCTTCGCACAATGTGAGAAGCCTCTCTCCGTTATCAGAGCGGTTATCATCGAACGCGTGATGACCCCGAAGGTGGCCTTCGTATGATAACAGGCGGCTAACCAGTGCATTAAAATCCCCAGCAAGGATAACGACACCCGAGATTTTAGCATCAGTCAAGAGTTGATTTAGATCCCGGGAGAATTCGTCCTTGACCGAGTCGCCACGGCAGTCAGTTGGAGCGTATGCGGAGGTCACAGACAGGTTGCGTCACTTTCACGGTGCTTGTTGATTCTACATGAACCCTGAAGGCGAACTGCACATAGTCGGCTGTTAATCGGGAACCAGTCCAGTAGTGCACGCCAGACGGAACGAGAATCGGGGACGAAGGAATGCCATAGGTTGAACTCCTCGGTCCGCGGCGCAACCGGAATCGCAGTCAGATTGTTGAACAGATGAATCGGGTAACCGAAAGTGAGAATTGTTAGCAAATAAACAATTGGCGTGTGATGAAGTCGTGTGAATGTGAGAAACAGAAACGGCAGCTGATGAGCACGTTGCAGTACAGTCCATGGTTTTGTGAGAAAGCGTGATACTACCCGGCTGCCCAAGCCAAAGTAGGGATTTGACTTAGGGGACTCCACCCCGAGCCTTTGGCCAAATAACCTATTCGCAAGGCAGCGGGGCGAATTTAGGGAATTGCGCCCATTGAGAGGCGCTGGCTGGATGTTCAGTTCACGCGTCTTTGCTTGGTAGATCACCAAACAGGGGCCCAATAATCCCCATGAAACCAGCACAATTGCTGGACGACAATGCTCCATCGAGGTGGAACATCGTCGCCGAACACTTTGCGGGAACGGGGCACACCCGAACCACCCAGCTGGCACCACGAAGAGGCAGTTCGGTAAACCAGTCAAAAACGGACTCCTTGTAGCCCACCGCCAAACCCGCTGCCTTGCAGTCAGGTTTTCGAACCAAAGGCTTTGGTTGAGAACCCTAATCGTTCTCCTGTTTAGGACTGGGCGACTTGACAGTATTCTGCCCATGCAATACAATGAATTTCTCTTCAAACAGTTTCTTGATGCTATGGTCACCGCAGAGGATAATCAACAGCGCCCTATCTGCTGCATCGAGCAGGATGGATAAGGGTTTGGATGTTACTGCTCAAGCCTTCCCATCTTCTTATTCCTCCTCTTACACTTTTTCACCCTTATCGTCCGGTTCTAATTACACTGTTATCCTCCCAATTTCCACCCTCCCCTATTCTTGGCCCTCCCCCAACATGCCCTGCTAGACTTTTATCATCCAGTTTCGACTCACATGCAAAAGCGGAACGTCACTCTTGTCCTGTCGACAAGCCAATGTCCAACTAAGCGTTCGACTCCAGTTCATTGTCTTCCATTTGGAGCCCTCGATCCTCCTTCACATCAGCATGCTTCAATGTACGCACATTGCTAGATCGGTCAACAGGCAGCACTTGCCCGAACATTAGAGACCCTCTCGATCGATATTTGCTGCTTATCGGAGACCAGCCTGCAAGACTGGAGCTCTGTGCTCACTCTGCGATCCCCTTCAGGTGACACTAACAGTAGTTTTTTACTGCGTTTATCTAGTGACGATGCAGCTTCGAACACCGGCCAAGCCGGTGTTGGCATTGCACTGAGTCCCCGACCTAAAGCTGCTCTGGTTGATTGGATCCCAATTAGGAGAAGAATGTATGCGGTCTGATTGGGTGGCTCGTTCAAAGATCGAAGTCGCGCGGGACTAATAGGTGTTCATTGGTCATCGCTGCCTACGCGCTCACAGACTCTAACGATCATTCGGTAAAAGATGACTTCTACCGCCAACTGACCGAGCTCCTTCGTCCCAGAAAAAGCACGGACACTGCTGCGCGGGCGGGGGATCTGAACGATCAAGTTGGAAAAGTATCCATTGATGAACTGCATCTGGGCGGCGAGCACGGTGTAGGCTCCCGTAATGATAACGGTGAGTGGTTACTTCATTTGTGTGAAGATGCCCGCTTTATTTCTTTCGGGCACTAACTTCCGACACAGCACCCGCCGGAGAGTGACTTGGCGCCCACCAACCACTTAACAGCCATGGACGAAAATCGATCACATTTCGAGCAGTTACCGCTGGAGAGGCTGCGTCCAGAACTGTCGCTCGATTGGGAACACATGTGTGGGCACCAAACATGCACTTGTATGTGCTGACCTACGGATGCGTTTTGGCGGACGCCCACGACGACGCTGTGAGCGTATTGACACCAGTCAACTGGCGAAGCCAGCTGTTCTGTATGCGTATCGAAATACGCTAACATGCGGGTTGAGAAAGCGCTCACTGTAGACAATTGAAGGTCACTGGTCGTATGTTCACCAAACCTTACTAGCAGCACGTAAATCCTCATGTAGTGTCTAATAGCAAACATGGACATTGGATCTCTTCGAAGTCTCTGGAAATTATCGATGCTCGCCGGCATATTCCGGCTGGAATCGAACACAATGAAACTCGCAAAGAGCTCCGGGCAAAACTCCGTGCTAGCCTGAAGAGAGATCGCGAATCCTAGTGGTCTGTTCTTGCGTCAGAGATGGAGGTAGCCGCTGCCCTTGGTAACCATCGAAAGTTATTCCGTCTGATACGGGAAACGGAAGACTTGGTGTTAGTGAAACAATTTATGACGAAAGTGGAAAGACTATCTACAACTTGTCAAAACGTTTGGAGCGCTGGACTGAGCATTTTGGAAAACAATTTAATCGGCCGGAATTGTTAGATTCCTCATCGGCCGGTGATCGCCCTGTTCCCTGGGCTGTTCCTTCGGATCAGCCCTCTCGCTCAGAAGTCGAACGTGAAACTGGACTGTTGAAGCTGAACAAGGCCGCGGGACCAGATGATCTGCATCCAGCCGTCTTCAAATTCGGGGGCCCTGCTCTTGTTGAGGATTTGTACGAATTACTAGTGAAACTGTGGGAGTAGGAAGTTGTCCCAACCGACTGGAGCCACTCCGCTATAATTCCGATCTTCAAAGGAGGCTCGCGTTAGGAATGCTGCAACCATAGAGGAATCAGTATGGTCCCTATCGCTTCCAAATTACTTGCCTTTGTAAGCCTTCATAAACTGACTGGCGCTCGTGAAAACTAGATTCGTGAGGAGTAGGCCGGGTTTCGTCGGGGTCGTGGGTGCATCTGTAGTGACCTGGAGATTCCCCCGTATGACTGTGTAAACTATTCTAAAATATATTCAAATCATAGCTTGCTTATGTATTGGGGAATTAAGCGGTTTGCTTGTTGGAACGTTGTTCCCGTTGCTTGGAAACACGAACACGATCACCGCCTTTGGCGCGCGACTCGACTGCGAACGACACCCCGTCTACTGTAGAATGCAGACAAGGGAGAACCACAAGGATTGAGACGTAAGTTCTATTACGCAACACGTAGGCTTTATAAGAAAGAATCAGTAACGTAGGAAGGGATGAAAGAAAAGTTACAGTCAACTGTTCGCTTCAGGTTTCTGTCCTTCTTCAATAATGGCGCAGGAGTGTCTTTCTGAAATGCAGACAGAAAAGTTGTCGTCAGAGCAACGATTTAAATTCAACCACGCGCCGAACTAGTTTCGATCCCTCTTTACACCGCACCCCTTCTATATAGGCAACGTCCCCGTTGCCACACCAAATCCCCCTTGAGCTGGTACTTCAACTTCGGTGGCTACTTCTATCGGTGGCTCATTGTGATGTTCCTCATCCGAATGCTCAGATTCGATATGGAAAGGTTTAAGCCGATTAAAGTGTACGACCATGGACGGCCCAACGGCGTTCTTTGGGTCCCTAACCACACAAGTCAGATCAGAAATTATTCGGTCTACCACGTAGGGGCCAGCCCACTCACGATGCAGTTTCGCTGGTATTCCGGATACCGGTGCCTGATGCAAATATACGAGGTCGCCTGCTTTCAACGGGACACCGAAGACCTTCTTGTCGTAGTATTCCTTCTGTCGCCGTTGAGCGTTCGCCAAATGGATGCGTGCCGCTTCGTGTGTGTGTAGGCTCTATAAGAAAGAATCAGTAACGTAGGAAGGGATGAAAGAAAAGTTACAGTCAACTGTTCGCTTCAGGTTTCTGTCCTTCTTCAATAATGGCGCAGGAGTGTCTTTCTGAAAGGCAGACAGAAAAGTTGTCGTCAGAGCAACGATTTAAATTCAACCACGCGCCGAACTAGTTTCGATCACTCTTTACACTACGCTCTCGACGCCAACTACATTCTCCCTAGCTAGCTCTCTTCCGGTGCCCTATTTTTAGCATTAGCTAACGCTCCTCCCGTCCAATAAACTTGTTCCCTAGCTTACTTTTGTGTGTTCTACCATTGCCTTTGGTTGGCCGTCTAGTCACGTGCCGAATATATAGCGCACGATCTTCGCGCTATACATCGACCAATTCGCGTCAATTTCTGCAGCACCGTCACACATATCGGTGGCTCACCGTAGTCGTGCTCCTCGACATCAAAGGCACCTTCGATTCGGTTGATCGATGTGCCCTTTAGGACTGTCTATTCAGGAAAGGTATGCCCAAGAAATAAGTAGATATTATTCGCGCAATATACGCGCGTAGCACAGGCAAAGTGAGGGCTTACAGCAAGCAGTCGACACTCTTCAGTATCGCAAGCGCTGTCACCTTTCCTCTTCAATTTCGCAATTGATGAACTAAGGAAGATTGCATTCACAGGACACGACTTAGGTGTGAAGCTACTCCCAGGAGAACGACTTCTCGACTTGGAGTATGCGGACGATATTGCCTTCATCTGTGACAGCATCTGTGAAGTGCCAAGCTGCACTGGACAGATTAGTACTGGCTGTCGCCGCTTCAGGCTTTTTTTCGCACCATCGAAGTGCAAAGCTTTCCTTCAAGATTGGCAGGGATCGCCTCCTGCGCTGACCCTTGGGGACCAGCCAGTCGTTCAGAAATTCAACCACCTGGGAAGTTGTATCAGCGGCCTTGGGATTGAAGATGAACTCACGAACCGTAACGTAAAAGCTCGAGGTGCTTTTGCTAGCGTTCGCTACCTATGGCGCCGGCGCGATATCACTCACGCCCTGAAGTGTAGGGTACAATGTATCGGTACGTTCGACCCTATTGTACGGCTGTGAAACCTCGCCGCTTAGACCAGCGGATATAAAAAGGCTCATTACGTTCGACCACCGGTGCCTTCGCAGTTTGGCTCACATCTTGTGGGAACACCGCGTGAGCAACAGGCGTCTCTGACGCCTTGTTTGCGGTACAGGAAAAAGAGCTAAACCGCTCACGCATCAGGCTCCGATGGCTGCGTCACGTGTTACGCATGCCAGCCCAACGGCTCACGCGACGTGTGTTGTTTGCTCGCCGGGGGTATGGATAGAAGAAGAGGAAAGGTGGGCAAACAATGACTTGGTCGAGAAGAATGAAGGCACTCACTTCGAAGGTGGCCTCGGTCGGAACGTCACGGCTCCCTGGTTGGGGTCCAGAAGAGGATGAACACGTTTGGCTGGATACACTTGTTAACATGGCTAGGAGCCGGCATCAGTGGCGTTCTTGCTGTGAGTTTGTCTCTCCCCATCTTTTTTAGCCTCTTTCTCCAACCACGATCTCATTTCGTAGCATATTATAACTTTACATAGTAATTTTTGTTGCTGCCTAGTAGTCAAGTAGTACCTTTCCGGAACGATGTCCATCCGTTGCTGGTAGCTCAGCTGGTATGAAACTGTCGCATTTATTTCATTCTTTTTCTTTTATGTATAGAGGCACAGTACCTGAGGTGTTTTACACCTCCAGCTAACGTGCAGTATGATGATGATGGTTAGCAGGATCTCTGATATCCAGCAGTGGACGAAACAGTGTATTACTGTCCGGAACTGAAAAATACATTCCCACACAAGTACTGTGCCTGGAACCATTTCGTTGCCTGACGCTCGATTCAAGCATGCTCATATCGACATCGTTGGACCTCTACTGCCATCCAACGGTTTTACTTACTGTTGACATGTATCGATCGTTTCACACGTTGGCCACACGCTGCGCCGCTGCATGATACCTCAGCCGAAACCGTGGCACGAACGTTCATCGAAACTTGGATATCCGCGTTTGCCCCCCCCCCGCCACTGTCACCACGGATAGAGCACCCCAGCTTCGTTTTGCGCTGTTTCGTGACCTCGGCCGCATGCTCAGCTGTTCCCATTTACAGTACATTACATCATACGCGTTAGCTGCATGTGGAAACACCTCAGCTATTGGGCCGCAATACAAAAGAAAAGAAAACACGCAACAGAGCCACACCGGCTGAGTCCCCAATAACGGATGGACATCGTTCTGGAAAGCTAAGAGCCGGCTATTGTGTCGCAAAAAAGCTATATTGTGTCTAATAAATGAGGTCTTGATTGGAGGGAGAGGCTAAGTAGGAGGGGGGGACAAAGAAACACAACACAACCGCCATTGGGATCGCTCCTAGCCATGTCAACAAGCCTTCTCATGCACAGCAGCATATCACCCGGCTGCTAGCAGTTTAGTCGAGCGTTTTCACTGCTAACTCAAGGCCGCACTCACTGCGACGAAATCGAATATCCAGAGGTCGGAGCATTTAGCGATCATTTTCCTCAGCATCCGCAACACTGGAAAAGAAGATCTCCGTTGTTGTCCCGCAGAATTAGTCTTTGGTACAATGATTAGGCTTCCCGGAGAATTAGCACTGGATTCCAGGATCACCGACAAAGTCGATCCTACGTCATAAGTTGCACGATTGAAACAATACTTCGGAACCATTCGTCCAACGCCACCGCGATGCACTTCTCGAAGCCAACACCTTCACCCTGACTTCCACACGTGTCTCTTCGTTCCCGTGCCCATCGATGCGATTCGCAAGCGTTTGACACCGCTTTACGAAGGCCCTTTCAAAGTCATGGTCCGCAAAGAGAAGTATTTTGCATTGGACAGAAATGATTCTAATGACTCTATCAGTATTGATTGCCTAAAGCCGACCTACGTCGAATTACATTCGCCATCCCGGAGTCAATAGAATGTTTCATCTGGTTCGTTCACGTAATCTGCCTTTTGCATTCGAGGAGGTGAAAGCGATGACCGCCTGCTGCAGCATTTGCGTTAAGCTGCAAATCGGCCGGAACACTAAGTTCAAGTGGGACTGGAACGACAGAATGAATCCCGTTAGTGTTCCTTATTGAGTGGGTCGTTGATCCCAAAAGAAAGCCATTTTGAGGCGGTCGATGGACACCGTTGTTCGGTGACCATTCTGTTCTAAAGTAAAATGTTTCGGAGTCCGTTGCAGAACTCTGAAAGGGCCAGTGTAGGGAGGCTGGAGAGGGCGCCGCAAGGCGTCGGTGCGGAAGAAGACGTGAGTGCAGGTAGAGAGTTCGTTGTGCATTTGCACATCTCTAATTTGTTCATGGGGCGGTGTCGGGCGTAGTGAACGCATTAGTTGAACTAGGGAGGACGCAAAGTTAAGCGGAGGCATACCCGACGATGCGGCAGGTGCAACGAATTCTCTTGGTAACTTGAGCGTTGTGCCGTAAACCAGCTCTGCTGGTGCATATTGCAAGTCAGCTTTGATGCTGCTGCGAATACCTAAGAGTACGAGCGAAACTTTTTCGCTCTAGTTAGGGTCGGAGGAGGCGCAGAGCGAGGTTTTAAGCTGTTTATGGAAGCGTTCAACTAACCCGTTTGTCGCTGGGTGGTACGCTGTGGTATGAATGCGGCGACAGCCTAAAAAGTTGCAGAACGTATCGAATTGTGAAGATTCGAAAGGCGTTCCTCGGTCAGTTGTAATGGTGGATGGGCATCCGTAGTGCAAGACCCACCGGTCCAAGAAGGCCCGGATAACAGTCTCAGCTGTGCAGTCTGTTACGAGAATGGCTTCTGGCCATCTGGTGAAGCGGTCGACACATGTAAGAATGTATACGAATCCGCGTGAAGGGGGCAATGGTCCTACTAGGTCTAAGTGTACATGCGATAACCGAGAGTCCGGGGCAGCAAATGAACCAAGAGGACTGCGGGTGTGACGATGTACTTTGGAGCGCTGGTATTGAATGTAGTCGCGAGCCCAGGTAAAAACATCTTTGTTTACGCGTGGCCAAACGAAACGTTCGGTGACCAGTTTCACAGATGCATGGATACCAGGATGTGATAGTGAGTGCAGTGTGTCAAAGACTGCGTCTGAAGGAGACAGGCACGAGGGGTCCCGGGCAACCTGTGGAAGTGTCACAGAGAATGGTTCCTTCCGTGGTTTGGAGAGGAACGGGTTGCACATGCAGTGAAGTGGACGGCAGAGCGCGCTGTATATCTTCGTCTTGAGCCTGAGCCGATGCCATGGCGGCAAGGTCGACGGTAGGCAAAGACTGGAGAGTGAGGTTGACGCGTGAGAGAGCGTCAGCGACGGGATTGTCGACACCTGAGACATGGCGTATGTCAGCAGTAAACTGCGTGACAAAGTCTAGGTGTCTTGTTTCCCGTGGTGAGTATTTGTCGCAAGCCGAGTTGAAGGCAAAGATAAGGGGGCTTGTGGTCAGTGTA